AATTTTTTGACAAACAGCGTTTTTAAATCTTACTTTCTCATGAGGGCCCGTAGATCACAAAAGTATGTCTTAATTTTTACCTTCAAAGGTGCATTTCCTCTATCCTCCTTGCCTGTAGGATTCTAAAAGTAAAAAGATCAATAGAAATATCTTTAATTTACCGATGATTCATGAAGTCCTCGTTCTGGTTCAAATACAAATAATACAATCAGAATGACAGAAACCACGCCTAAACTTTAAAAATTAAATTGACTTGGAACAATTATAGATATTGTATAAACGCACCAAATAACGCTATTAACCTCATTGCACATTGCCATCCTCCCAGTCGCCTTGCCATTTGTGATCCAAAGATGTAACCAATTCCACTGAAGCGCACAATATTTTACTTGCCTTATTCAAATGCATCAAACCTTCCAAATGGCCTGACCATATAGAACAACATCAACATCCATGAGCGCGCTTTTCCAATGTACGTATCACCAATTATCGTAGGAGAAACGATCTCAGATGAGGCTTTACCGATTCCGACAACACTGCGCATAAGGAGAAACAGCCAAAAGCACTAAATAAACGTTGTTATCCATCGCAAGTTAATTCAATTTACCTCTTTAGTCACAAATGTTGGTGCGAACATGGCCAGAACCCATACTAGTATTCCGACAACCATAATCCATTTATGTGTGTATCTAAAAGAAACTTTCAGCTGAAGAACTCTATCCATTTTATACTTACCTAACTCCCATGTATCCAAAGATTGGAATGAACAACGTGGAAAAGACGATAAAAACCGTTTGAGGTAATCCAACCATACCCTCGTCGATCTCATAAAAACTTTGAATGTCGATGAGAAGAACTGAAATTATACCAATTGTATTTTGTGTTAGTCTAGAAAGAAAGAAATCCAAGTTGTACACTTTTATGTCACATTTAGATCAAATTTTAATGAAGAAAAATGGTTTAAGCTTTTTCTATGCATGTTTACGAATCAAAAGCACCTGCCATGGTAGATCGCTCAGCATGTTTGAGTAGATTGATGAAGAATAGAATAAACACAACAATCAACTTCTTACATTTCGAATGATGAGGTGGATCATCCATCGATCTGAAGAAATATGCAATGAAATTTAAGAATCGAATGGAATGAAACGAATAAAGACTGAGGGAAAATAGAGAAAAGATGTCAAATATGCGACTTTGTAACAGGTTTCTAAGAGAACGAAAAAGGAAAAAGAGGGGGAAACGAATTGTAGTTGTAACTTAAAAGGATTGGGGAATTTGTGTAAAATTTTGATAGCTGATTGAAAAGTGCGTTAAGAATCTCTATTCTAAAATGAATAATGAAAAGCAAAGGGATAATGACAGAGTATAAACAGTAAAATGGGCAACTTCTACGAGAAACTCAAGCAATACAGTGTTTTTAGTGAAATACAACAGTTAAGCAGATATCTCTCCCTATGTTTAGCACAAATTCTCTATCCGCGCGAACCTAAAGACTTGGAGAGGTCGAGGGTAAACATTTCACTCAGAAAAGGAGAGATCATTACTTTCAAAGGTTTGGGTGTTTCTGACTCTGGAACTAAAGCGCTTTAATAGGCACTCTAAATAGTGATAGCCAATGTGAAAAATGATAATCTGATAAAAACTGATAAAATTTGAGTGTGCAAACAGCACTCAAATTTGCATTTAATTTTTGGCAAATGACGCAAGATTGGAGTCAAACCTCACATTTCGTATTCTTTATTCTATTCGGCTATGGTTGATTTTCTCTTTCTGTTACCCTTGCTGCCAATACTAGGAACAATCATTGTCGGTTTTCTCACTTTCACCATACTCATATGTAAGTGACAACCTTTTTTCCCACCTTTTTTCTTGTCCCGAAGACCTTTGTCAGCTCTTTATTGTCGGGGCACAGGTATTAATTTTTTTATCTTGTTCGAAAAACATTTTTTAGATTGACCAAAATTTTGTTCCGTGTCCCTTTTTGAGCTCAAAAGATCTGTCAACTTACAAAGTCGTTTTTCATTACCTCTTAGGCCGAGGAGATCCATCAATTAAACTAATGACAGGTTTTTGTGGTACCTTAAATGTTAATTTATAATTTAGACTTTGAGCTTGGTGCGGCTGCTTACAAAATGACCTATGGAGTCACTGAGCACCATTTTTGTTGCTTTCACTACTCGCAAAATGTCCTGCGGCGAATAAAGGTTTTTATTTTTTTTTAATAAAAAAATTGATTGGATTAGAGATTCGGACTCCACAGCCTCGTTCAGACACCATTCGAGAAAACGCAATCAATAGTGTCTCTCGCATTTATTTTATCCAACTGAAGTTGTTCTCTACTTTGAAAAAGTAAAAAATCAGCTTTGCAAACGGTCGCTCCCCATTTGCAACGTAAAATTAACAGTAGGTCGTTATTTTTTATGAATACATTATTGGTTTAGAATTTTACGCATCGTTTGAAAAGTCTTACTTGGGTCGCGTCGGCACAGCAGGTTCGTGGTCCGGCTATGTATGATATCTACAAATGGAATCCCCATGAACGGATTATTTTGGGTCAGCACATTGGCAACTCGGCTCAGGAAGGATTCCATTCATTTTTGAAGGTTAGTTGATTTCCTTGCAATGAGTAGTGCTGTTTTTTAGAAGGGTCCGAAAAACCCACATCCAAATCACACTGCAGTGAGACTCTACGAGGAAATGGCAGTGTTTATCAATCGTTTCAACCTTCCAATGGCCAACAATCTCACTCTTGGACAGAATTACTCGCAGAGGACCAGGGTAGCCCGTCAAAAGAAGCGTTTTACTGCTATTAGTAGTGGACGCTTACCTTGTTGTGATCACGTTCAGCACTTGTCCCAGATTCTTGTTTACATTAGAAAAGGTTAATTGTTGTTATCTTTTTCCGTTTTGCTGTTAATTTGGAAAAAAAGTGCTATGGAAGTTTTTAAGATGTTGGTGAAAGCTTTGAAAAGTGCTTAAAAACATTGCCAAAAACTTTTGTTAAAATGTGTTAAAAAGTTGTCCAAATGACCCCTTTGTGCAAAAAAAATCGCGTAAATGACCCAGTTACGCAAAAAATTTGGCAGAAAGTAGCCACTTACATTTGACACGCGTTTCGCCCCCTTTGCCATTGGCAATCTGACTTTGAGCTCATATATTTTGGTGCTAGGCTGTCCAATTTAAATAGTTTTTGTACCAATCGACAGAGAAAGACTTGGCGCATCTACAGGGTGGCTGAAAATTACGTGCGCTCAGCATCAGCATCATAGTTTTAAACAATGTATAAAGCATTACTACTCATCTTTTTGTGTTTTAATATTCTTTTTATCGTTGTCTATTAATTTTTTTTGTTAAAAAAGTTGTTTTCTAGGTCATGACAAAGACGAGATTTTGCAAAAATGATTATTTTCCAGTTTAAATTCAGCTCACTTTTTGCACCAGAAAAATGATTCCTTATGAGGTAAAGCTAGCATAAATGAGCAAAACGCTCTATAATCTCTATTTTTAGCCAAAAATTTTTAACAGATATGCTTTTCCAAATTTGGGTGTCACCTTCTTGGCACTAGGTGTTATGGGTGATTCTGAAAATTGAAAGCATTAGATCAAATTTGCCTTAATCACAAATTTTCCCTATTTTAAGTACTTCATTTTAGGTTTTGAATGGAACCCATTGCCTATTTATTAACCCATTAAAAACTTGTCTAAAGGCTGGTCACTCAAAAAGTGACCAAGTCACTTCAGCTGAAGAAATCTCTTATTATTTACCTGAAGCCAGCTCGGGTTTTCTTAGTCAAAAACTTTGAATAAAGTATTTATTTTTAAAGCAAACATATGGCAACTAAGATACAGTTTGTCGTAAAAGCGCTAAAATTTTTCTTCTCGTTTTTCCATTAAATTATTTTGAGCCAAATACATCATCAGGAAAAATCATCAGGTATCATCAGGTATTATCAGGAAAAAAAGGAAAAAAATGTTCTATCAAAAAAATTCTTTTTGAATCGAATCATTCTCACAACATAGACTTTGAAATTTCATTTGACGACTTCATCAAATTTTTTAGTATTTATTTGAACAACTTCTCGTTTTTATACTAAACTTTCTCTTTTTATACTAAACTTTCTCCTTTTACATTTCACATTTCATAAAATTTGCTTTTTAGTTGTAAATGAAGATAGAATTCGTTTTCTTGCTTGTGGCTTCACTGACACAAATTGTGACAGCAAATGATGGTCAGTTTGTTTCGATCGATTACTTTGTTCTTTTTTTTGTTATGCAACTCGTCTACTGGCTGTTTTTTAGAATGGATGGAAGAGTGCCACAGCCAGAGTGAAAACCTTCAAATTCATTCGGCTGGTGGCAATTTGAGAGACCTTACGAGCGATGAGATGTCTAAGTAAGCGTGTATTGTGAAAACTTTCCCGGGCTCGGCCCGGTGAAAGCCTTAATGAGCTCGGACTCGATCAAGGCTTGCCCGCAGCCATGGTCCGGCCCTTGGCTCAAGGCTTTTTGGTCGCTAGAGACAACCCTTCTCATTTTATCTTCATCACTCAATTACAGTAAATATTTTTGGATCGATCGAACGTTCACGTGCACTGCTGATCCAGGCTATTTCGCGCTTGTTCAAGTGAGGGTTTCTTTTTCAGTTTATCCTCAAAAATGTGTTTCAGATCAACCAAAAGATGGATTTTCCGTCAGACACAAAAACTATCACTTGTGGACCGCGGCGTCAATGGATGTACAAAGGTGAAGTCGTTTTCAATGTTGGATGCTACACAGGCACACGGGTGAGTTTTTTACGTATAGTTAAAGGTATTGCGAAAAAAAAGTTGTTAGTAAATCCACGGGAGGCAGCAGGGACAAGAAGCTTTTAGGCAGATTGGATCCAAAAGTCCGAAGAAGAGGAAAGAATTCGAAATTGGATGCGCGAGCATCACGGATGTAAAGAGGATCAAAAGGATTGGACATGGGGCAGCACCCAGTATGAACAACAAAAGAAAATGCAACGAATGGCTTCGGAAATCTATGAACTTTTAGTTAACACCGATAATATGTAAGTTTTAACTCACTCTCAACGAGAAAAGGGTTCTTTTCCGTTATACATCCGCAAAATTTGCATCCTTCCATGAAAATGAACAAGGAAAACCACAGAAAATAATCTTTTCTCTGTTTTCTAAGGGCGCGATCGAATCATGTTTCGCTTACGGAGGCCGAGGCAATCTCGGTCTTCCAACAACGCCGCATCTTGCTTACTACTCGCACATGCGCCAACCATCACGTTATGAAACTATTGCTCAATCAGAATCCCCAATGCGGATGTGACAAAACGTCGTGCTGGACAGCGATCGACCTGCGTGTTGGCTGCGTGTTGGCCCTTTGTTAAAGTTTCTCACAACCCTACCATTATGGATGAACTCAACAGTGAACTTCGATCAACTATTGTGCGAAAGAGTTGGAGACGAATCAAAGAACTGCGGTCGACTTCAACAACTAGAATTCCTTGCGTGGAATATCTGGTGAACAAGTTGAGCGAAAAGATTGGAGAAACCAATGGAATCGTCGAAGTGGACGAGGCTCTCTTCTCGAAGCTAGCGTCTAGGGAGAAAATGGAGAAACAAGAAGCATCGCCGCACGTCATTTCCTACCGAACTACCACGCTAAATTGATGGTTCAACGAGAAGTGGGAAAGGACGATTTCTACGAATCGGTGTTGCAACAAATTGCTACGGCATGGATTCCTCATTGATTGATGATCAGGGATTATTTTTGTGGATGTATAACGGAAAGGAACCGCGAAAAATTTCTGAATAAAACTTTGACTTGCAATGTTTTCTGTAATTTTCAGAATCAGGAAACAAGTCGCTGTTCTACCTGCAGACTATGTGAATGCTGCGGAGGAAAGAATGCCCTTCTCATGGGACAACTACTACATGAGAACGGGTTTCGTTGGCTTTGGAGACGATAACTCTGTGCTGGAATTTGCGAACTATGTGGTATTTGTATTTCGTGGTGGCTTTCCGAACAGATCAAAGCCTGATGCAAAAGAAGTAATCAGGTCAGACGAGTATTTATTAGGCTGGTTAATAAGTAATCGTGGATTTGCTGGTAGCTGGCCTCAAACTAAATCAATCTTAGCGAGTTTGGGCTTATTCAAAAGCTGTATTCAAGAGGAACACAGTAGCGAACATTTGTTAATTCGTTCCGTTTTCAAATTTTTATAAGCATTTAAGTGGTACTCAGTCAGCTTGGTACCCAAAAAAGTGTCAAAATCACATTTCAGGATCATTAAATTTTAGCTAGGGCTTGTCGATTCGTTGATCCGAGGGTCGAGGGTTCGACTCCCAACTGTGACCAGATTTTCAACTTTTTTTTGCAAAAAGGCCTAACAAGAAGGTGTCACAAAATGGCCGTAGCAGATATTGACGCCGTTGAAATGCAAACGCCAATCGAACCTGAATCCGATGCTATTCAGTTTTTGCTCATATTTTGGTTTTTGCAGCTGTTTTCCTATTGAATACTGCTTTCGAATAAGATCAAACTCGTTAAGATTGGTTAAGTTTGAGATCATCTGCCAGCAAATCCGTCATTAATTGTTAGCCAGCCTAATATTATGGACTAGCATCTTATAATCAAGGTCGGGCCGCAGACCTAAATAGACTCTTGGAAATTAAATGATAGGTGTTCTTGAACAGTTCCTAGTAAACGGTTATGAATACTTATCAATAGAAAATCTAATTTTGACTGAAATAAAATCAAAAGCACGTTAGGATCAGGCCGGGATCGCGTCTGGCCTTTTACAACCCTGTTTAGAATGGTTTAAGAAACTTCTGGTGTTTTGGTGGTTGCGGGCCCACCTATATTTTTGATCTTTTCACTTTTCTTGTGGTAATCGAGGGCGCTGAGCACGAATTTGACAGTTTTAGAATAGGTTCTCAATCGAAAAGCCGACATTTTGACACGTTGAAATCTACACTTTTCTTGCGCTTTAAATGCAACTTAAAATTCGTGTACCCAAACCATGGACTATTGGGGCACTTCAAGGTCAAAACTAGACCCAAAATCATTTGTAGCCACTAAATATTGATTTTCTAACTTAAATTGACTGGCAGAGAGGCAAAACAAATTGAAAAATATTTTTTAAGATTTTGACTCATGTGGCGGACCAAATGGTCGAAACTTGAAAAAAAATTTTTTGAAAAGTGGCCTCCTTCCCAACCTGAGTAGCGCCTAGAAGCGTCATTTTCAACGTGTGGAACTGTTGGTTTTTCAGTTGAAATGCTATAAATTTCCGTTTATTAGTTTATTATCTTATGCTAAAAATGTCAAATTCGTCCCCAGCGCCCTCGATTACCTCTAGAAAATTGGAAAATCAAAAATATAGGTGGACCCGCAACCATCAAAGTACCAAACTTCTTTAAATTTCTTTGCCCTAAAACTGGAGCTGTCAATCACTAGTCAGAGTCAGAATTGAGATAATACTTTATTTTAGGCGTTACTTTCAAGATGATTTGGAATGGAGAGCCCCTGAACGACACGACGAGATCCGATCGCTAGCAAAGCGTGCAGCGACTTATGGTGATAAATGGGAAGGACGTATCGACATTGTGACTGTTTTTCGAAAAGGGGCATCTCACAAAACGTGCACTTATCTCTATGGAGCATCTGGTGATTGGATGATTTCTGAGGTGAAGTTGTGGAGTCAGCGATGTTTCTGTGGATGTGGAGATGTCTGTGTTGTGCATTTAACGGCTTGATATCTTTTGAATAAATGAATTCATGAAAAAGATTCCAAGTAACGCAAGAAAAGAGGAAAAAAGAAATGCGGCCTTAAAACAAAGTCCCTACATTTTAAAATGACTTTTTATGTAGTTGACATTTTAAAATTGAGCAATAGTTGATTACATTCACATCTTTAAAATAGTTTTCTCAATTTGATTTCGTTAATTCGGTTTAGGTTCCTTTAAAACTTAAACATGTTTCCTTTGTAAAACTTTAAAATGTAAAAACTGAGGAAAAAATAACATTTACGAATCAATTAAACCTTAATTTTGGCGAATATTGAACCATCTTCAGGGTAACATTAAATCATCGATCAGCCGCTTCCTTTGGTTTCTCCGTTGAAAAACGAAGAGCTTTGAGTTTGAATGAAAATGAGTAGGCCTTTCGCTTGACTTTTGCTCCTAGAGCTTTTTGAATTCGGCATTACCTAAGAAAGAAAAATTAGTAACGCAATAAAATCTGAAAAAAATCAGAAAAAAACTACACTTCCGGGTTGACTTTTCTTATTTCGGATACAATAATTTTAGCGAAAAATAGAGAAGTGATACCTCGAATAAAAGATCGGTGTTATATTCAACCTGGTCTTCTCTTTTTTCGATCACCCTCTAGATTTCGTCTTCTATTCGAAGCGCTCTTTTATTCTTCTTAATAGTCTTCTATTTCTTTCTTAATAGTCTTCGGTCTTCTATTCGAAGATATACGGTAGACTAAAATAAACAATAAATAAAACGAACCAAATTCTCGGACGATAATTCCGGTTGATCACGCCATTTTCGGACCAATTTTCGTTTTCATCACTAAGCAAAATAGTTTGAAAACTATTGTGTAAATACCGTATTTTCTCTAATAGTAGCGCACACTAAATTGCTCGAAATCTCGAAAATTGGAGAACCCAATCAAATCGTCGAAGTGGACGAGGCTCTCTTCTCGAAGCGAAAGGCGAATGTGGACCGAATCTTGCCGCAAGTGTGGATATTTAGAGTAGTTTGCCGGGAAACCAAGGAATGTTCTCTGGTTTAGGTGACCGACCCTATTGGAAGCGATGCTTGAACACATCGAGCCTGGAACCTAAACTGACTCCGATTATCGGCGAGGATGCAGCACAAAAAGAAGACGAAGAAAAGGTGAAAGCCGGATATCGAACGAGTGCGAACAGGTTGGGGAATTTGTTGAAACATTGGATTCTGGAGAGTAGAGTCAATCCAACAAAATAGTTAACGAACACTTACTTCATAATCTGGTCTGCTAAATACAAAGTCGATAAATTTTGTTTACAACAAACTAGGGCTTTATTTTTCAGGGAAATTTGCGGCCGAGTCGTTCGTGGTGATTTCACCTTTACCGAATCGAGGGGTGTCGGAATTGGCTTTCTCCCGATTGGTTCTCTTGCAGTGATACCCAAATACGTATGCTTTTAAATGAACCACTTCAGAACTTTAACTAAACTACCAGTACTTTGTAAACTGTGTACTTTCAGAAGAATAAACGAGTGGTTTTGGTGCGGAACACGTCATCGAAATTCTACCGTCTCGCCACGATCTCCATCCTACAAACGAGCACTGAAATTTGACCAAAAAGGGATTTTATGAAGTGAGATTGTATATTTTGTTATGTTTTGTTGTTGAAGATTTTGCAAAAATAAAAATCTAGGGATTTAGGGTATTTCACAAGTGAAAGGCTTATAAAAGTGTATGATGTAGACTTTGCTTACGCAGTTTTGGAGTTTTTCGTAAAGAGGTTTCCCGAAGGTCCGAAAATTTGAATGAGTTCTCGTTTTTGTTTTTTTTCTCCAATGAGCGGAGATGCACTTGAGGAAAACGCCTACGCTTATCGTGGAGATGAATGATCAAAACTTCAAGGTTTCCAGCGAAGACTGAGCTCTAAAGACAAAATTTCTAAAGAGACGCAGTACGGTAGCTTTTTCCAAGCGCAGCTTTTATAAAACAGCCTAAGAATAAACAAGGCTGCTATTGATAAGCTGGGCTTTAGTCATCCATTTGGTTTCCGCTTTTTGGAACTTTTGATTATGAATTCAGAGGCACTTCGATTTTAAAAGTGCTAGGCAATCTTCGTGAATGGTCCTTGAGAATTGAGATGAGTTCTGTAAATGAGGTTCCTCATTCTTGACACTTGAACAAGATTTAGAGAAAAGCTGAATTCATCGATTGGCCCTGAGAGATGTGCAAAAGAGCAAAGGTTTACGGTAGTCTACTACAGTATACCGAAATAAACAACGCCAAAGCTTTATTTCATTCTCGGGCAAAACGATTTCCTAATGGACTGCTTGTTGCTGCTTGTTGGAGAATCTTTTTGCCTATTGAGAGATTTCCATTTGTTTGATGAAAGTGAAATGAAATGAGGCTTGTTGTGGGGAAAAGGGCGGAAGAATTGAAAGAAAAGAAAAGAAAAGAAAAGGACATCACATTGACGATTCTTTGAAATTATCCCCACAACAACAAAAAAAAAAGAAGAAGAAAAAGAGAAATACACACACACACACGAGAATGAGTCAAATCATTGACAAAGAGTCATCGGAGGGATTAAAAGAGTACACATCCACTCCTTGATGATCACCATTTTTACTATACAATGCCGAATTTCTAGACCTTTATCCAGAGCAATCTTTACCGAATATTGCAAAAACCTGGCTGATTTTGTTTGTTTGTTTCTTCTTTTTGGCAAAGATTTCCTGAATAGAGTCTCCTTCCTCGTTTTGTCTAACGAACTCCCCCGGAGAATCTCGTTTATCTCATAGGGAAATTTGCGCCCCAAGACACAACTCATTTCATTGGGTGCAACAATCCGAGAAGTTCATTTGGACTCTTTATGGAAGCCTAAAGAAAGAGAAGACTTGGGTAATTAAACCGGCCGAAACGCATTCCCGGTCGTCTCTACCCAGAGCAGTGTGCCAGACCCCAATTTTTCCTACGAGTGACATTGAAAGAACGCACAATGAAAAGTCAACTGTGTGTTCTTTCCATGTCACTTGTAAGAAAAATCGGCGTCTGGCACATTGCCATAGGTAAAGACGCATCGATCGATCGGTTTAATTACCCAAGTGTCTTGTGCCAAAAGGTAAGTGATTATGAGTGCACACAAAGTACATCAGATTTTTAGACATTTCTTATCGATCACCATATTGATAAGGTGCACTTTTTATGCCCAGAAGGTAATGCTAGAGATGCTAGACTAGAGATTACATCAGAAGTTTCATCGTTTGAAAGTTTTTGGCAGAAAATCGTGAATCTCTCCTCATAGAGCTAAATTCTCACACTCTCCAAGGCGATGAGGGCTTTTTGATGTGTGGCGATTCTGTGAGAGGAGGGATGGAAGGACTCTGCAGAAGAAGAGCTCCCCACTCCCTTCTTTTCCAGCTGGCCGACTCTCAAAAGACCTCAGCCTCCTTTTTTTCCCTTTCTTTTTCTTTTCTTCAGATCCTAAGGGATTTTTTGGGGAGATCCTACGGCCACCTAGACTTCTATAGAAAAGAGAAAGCAGTCTCTGCCACTTTTCCTCAAAAATGCTCTCTTCATTTTTTGTTCTCGGCTTTTTTTTTCTTCTCAATTTTACTCGTTTTTTTATGTGTAGTTGTTTTCAAGAAGAAAAGAGTCGAGTTTTTGGAGATTTTATGAGTTTTGATGGTAGAATTCTTCGTGTTTTTAGTTTCTTGTGTGTTCCCACAATCGCGCACCTTCTGGCACACAAAACTTGAGCAATTAAACCGGAAAAAGTCGCTGCAGTGATTCTTTACAGACCACTGTGTGTACCTTCCATGTCACTCGTAGGAAAAAGCGGCGTCTGGCACACTGTCCCGGGTCAGGGTGGCCGGAAATGCGCCTCGATCGGTTTAATTACCCAAGTTTCGTATGCCAGAAGGCAAGTGATTATGGGAAAGCACAAAGAACATTAGTTTAGAAGAACTTTGAACTTTAGAACTTTAGATCCAAATGCATGATTGTGATTGTGATTGTGATTCAGATTCCCCAGAACTCTCCTCCAAACTTCTTTCCTCCGTCACTCACATCAAAAAGCGTTAACTTTCCCCTCTTTTCCTCGAAATCTAATTTTGCTTCTCGATTTTTTTTCAGTTTTCCTCAAAATACGATCAATTTTTTTTTTCCATGATTTTCATATCAACAAAAATATTTGGGAAATAACAGAAAAGCTAAGGAAATGGGGGTAAAAATAATAAGGGTAATTTGTGAAGGAATCATTGAGAAAAGAGATAAAGGATAAGGGGTTTTTGAGAGAATTCATCCAAACGGATGAGATGAATGAGTGAGAAATTGCCTTAACACATTTTTGACAGTATTTTTGAGCGTACAGTCGCGTAGTTGACTGTTTTACTGATAATTTTTGTGTAAATTTAAAGATAAATGAAACTATTGTAGTCATTTGATAGCACTGAATCTCCTCTTGAAAACTAGCATAAAGTTATCGAGAACTGTTGCGAAATACATTAAAAAATCCTTGCAGACCATTTTAGACCAAAAATGATCGTCATTAGTATGGCGTCGTATCGTCGTATCGTCATTAGTACGGTATCTAGAGTAGTATCGTCATTAGTACGGCGTCGTTTCGTCATTAGTACGGCTTCGGTGAGTCGTATCGTTAAAAAGCGTACTGTAAAACGTTCTCAATAGACTTCATTACAGACTTTTCAAGGCTTTCTAGACTTCATTCCAGTATATTGAATGGAGAGTTGAATTATATAGTCGAATTTTTTGGCTTTATAAATTCTACATTCATTGATAGGCAAATTCTTAATGTAAATTTTTCTCGAATTTGAATTTCGGACGAGTTTCAGACGATTTCCTTGTGAAACGAAACAAAAAAGCATTAACTTTTCTGAAATCTTTTCTTTTTTTAGTCTTTCTCGATGAAAATTGGTGGTGTCGGGAAGGGAAAAAAGGAGAGAAAAGAGGAGAGGAAAGAGGAAAGAAAAGAAGAGAGGAAAGAAGAGAGGAAAGAAGAGAGGAAAGAAGAGAGGAAAGAAGAGAGAAAAGAGGGGGAAGGAGGAGAAGAAACGTGAAAATCTCAGGTCGATTTATATAAAGGAATTCGTTCTTTTTTCTCGATTTTGCTTTAAGTTTAATATTCGAAGTTTAATTTTTTCATTTCTAGATTCACCAGATTCACATTACCGACTTACTCTAGCCTTTTCGAATGAGTCAAGTACCATTTAGTAGGCCTTGAAACGTAGATACTGAAATTCTATTTCAAAACTGCTGTAATGTCGTAATTTGGCTTTGTTTTAGACTCGTTTATCTTTAGAAAATGATTTGTTTCACCAAAAAACAAGATTTAGACCCTTATTTACTTATTTAGACTTATTTAGAGGCCTTTTCAGTGCTTTCTTTCCAGATTTTCAACTAAAAATTGAGTGCAATTGACCAGTGCAAAAATTGAGTGCAATGAATTGCAAAATTGACCAAGTTGAACTCATGAATTCCCGAATTTTGAGATCATTTTGGGTTCTTTTTTAAATATCCCTTTAGGGCATAATAATGCTTTTTGGATATTCTGTTTTTTTAGATAAAAATGAAGATGGAAAAGAAATGGCGAAGGGCTTATTAGGAGGGAAAAGTTTTCGTTAGATGAGATGGGGGAAAGGATGAGAAAACTGAAGGGAAAAAGGGAAACTGAAGATCCGATTTCAATCTATTGCACTTTTCCTCATTCAATATCTTTTAAGCGAAATGATATTTCGAATTTTCATCTTTTCTTTTATCTTAATGTCAGATTTGTCAGATCTCTTTTCTCTTTGTAAACTTGGTTAATTGAAACGGCATTGGGGGCTTTTTTTTCTCTATTGAAAGCGGTTCATTCATCTAGAGTATCATTTAAATAATTTAAAATACTTGATTATCGCAATTGGTCGAGTTCTCAGCCAAATTTTGGCATAGTGACGTTCAAAATGGCGAAGCCGGCTCACTGTTTATTTGAGTGAAATCACTACCTCTTTTTTTTCATGTGATTTCATATTTTCTCGCGAATTTTGACGGAAAGTTGGCTTCATTTTGCTTTGATAATTAGGAAATTACATTAATTATGTAATTTCTAAAAGAATTTCCTTGGAGTTGAGCAGGCAATCGCCAAATTTGCACTGGAATCACAGTCAAATTTTCAATCACGTTTTTACCTACTCAAACTCACTTTTTGCCAAACAAGCTCTCCCCATCCGCAGCAGTTTTTCAAGGCACATCTTTTGGCGTAAAAATGAGCCCAATCCGTCAAAGCATGGCTGAGAAAAGGCCCGAAAACTAGAACTAACTAGAACTTAATAGGCAGATTGGTGTTCTTTGGGGGCGCACACAATCGCGCACTTTCTGGCAGAGGGCCTTTCCATATACCCGGCTGTTTCGCTCTTTTTGTGCCTTTGTGTCCACTCTCACATTGGTCCGCATGGTTTTAAGAGTATAAACGATTTTTGGAGACAGAGTTTGTAGAATGGCTAACCCATTGTGGAAAGATCCACAGTCTCCCGTGAGGGATACAGCTGAAGTTCGTGGAATCGCTACTATTCCGCACTGCCACCCGTGGAGGGAGGCAGAATGGTCTGTTGCTCGTAACCGGATTACAAATATGCTCCCTTTGGGCTCCGGCTTCCATCAGCTGTCCGCTACTCGACAGTCGTCTAGATGGCGGAAGTTTGGACACCCCATTGGAGGAACCGTGAGGTTCTTAAACCGACTGGGGATCAGATCAATCCCTTTTAGTATCAGCAAAGTGTAACTTCGGAGCATTCTCCTACTTACGTTGCGCGCACCTTAGCAAGCTGAGCATTCTTGCTGCGGGAGTCGGTGCCATCGCCAAGGACCAGACGTGGACCTCGGATCCCAAGAGTCTTCGGACTACAGGGTGGCGGAGTGCGAAGTCCAGCCACCTCCTCGTGGTGCACTCTGGGCACTTCCTGGAAACAGGAAGTGGCGAAGAGCTGGACAAAAAAGGGGAAAGAACTTTTGGAAAAGCTTCAGTTTTCTGCTTCTACTTTCAGAGGATTTTTTGTCTTGCAAACCGTTCCGAATTTTGCCAATCTTGAGTCATTTTTCTGTTCAGAAAGGAAATTTATTCAAAAAAGGAGAATTTCTTTTAGATTAATCAAATCAAATGCAAATTTTGAAGCCGAGCCTTTTCGGGATGATTTTGACCTCAGTTGACCTTTTGTGGTGATTGTGATAAGCATTCAGACTTTGTCTCCAATAATACTTTTTCAATTTTGATCTTAGATTTGTCTCTAAAGAGTGAATTAGCATTGAAAAGCTTTCAGAGTCTAGATTATGTTTGTAAATGTAAATTTCTTGTACATGTACATGCAATGCATTGAGTAAATGGATTTCCCATCCTGTCATCTCCAGAAATTTTCTCAAAAGAATCTCCCTCAAAAATATTTTCGGAAATGACATGCCCTTTTCAAAAACAAGTATAAAAAAAGAGGAAAATGATGGGAAAATTGAGAACTTTAGTGTGCCAGAAGGGGTGTGTTTAGGGAGAAATTGCACAAAAAGGAATATCAATGTTGTTTTTCTTTTGATTTCATTTCATTTCAATTCGGTGTTCGAATGAACTCCCCTTTCCCTTTTTTGTTTTCTTTAAACTTCAGCCCGAAATCCACTCATCCATGTGCAAATTTCCCCTCAGTCTAATGTCGATTTTTTTTTGAGTAGAAAAGAGAACACTTACAAAGGCAAGAGTCAAAAAAAAAAATTCTCTCAATAGCCAAAAATTATTTCAAGTTTGATTAAAAAAAGTTTAAAATTTAAAGTTTAAGTTTTAAGTTTAAGTTTTAAGTTTTTGTTTTAAGTTTTAAGTTCTTGAATCGATTTTGATTGAAAGTTTTAAGTTTCTAGCTGCTTGAATCGATTTTGATTGAAAGTTTTATGTTTCTAGCTGCTTGAATCGATTTTGATTGAAAGTTTTAAGTTCTTGAATCGATTTTGATTGAAATTTTTAACTTTATAGTTTTTTTGAATCGATTTTGCTTCAAATCTTTTACAGAAATTTCGAATTTTTAAAAACTTTCTTACATTTTTGAGAAAACCCGGCAAGGCAAATTTGCTCTTTTTCCAAAAAATTCACCAATTTTCGGATTATCTAGTCGATTCGTAAAAAAAAATAGAAATAGCGAGTTTTTTGCCGATATTCTACATCTTTTCCATTCTCGAATTTGCATCAGAATTGTCTACTTAGTGTGATCTCTTCCTTTCCATCAAAATACCCCACACTTAATCATCCATTTCCATCCCGTTTGCCTCTTCTTGGCCCCCAAAAATTGACTAATTTCTCGATGACACACAATTCTTGCGGAAAATTCGATGTGACTTTTCCATATTTATTTTGGTCTTTGGGGAATTTGTTGGCTTTGGGCTTTGGGGAAAGCTATGGCTCAGTTGGGGAAAGGTAAAGCTAACTAAAGTGATCTATGCTAACTTTACAATGCGAAAAGAAACGATTCGAGGGTTAGATGTAGGCTAGATTAGAGGCTAGATTAGATTAGAACGCACAATCCTTTAACTAGATTAGTTCAAAGATTGTGCGTTCTCTTTTAGTACGCAAAACTTCTGGCACACTCTTCAGACTCTAGGTTTATTCACCCAAATTTTGGCTAACTATTCCAGGCTCAGGCTCAGGCTTAGAAAATAGAAATCATCTTAACTTGTTAAAATTGAAAGAGATTCGAGAGGTTAGGGAAAGGGCCCATCTTTTTGATTTTGAGTGACTTGTTTGATCGCTTTCCTTTCCCCATTCACACCACTTCACCTTTTAAGGGAAAAGGGGCAAAGAGAGATTATGATTGGATCGAAGGAAAGAGAATAGAAAAGAGGAAAGAGGAAAAGATCTAGAGTGGCTCTTTTCTATGCTTTTCTCTTTATCATCCAATAACTTCTAAGTACACACAACTTCTATGGGAAGAATCTCTTTTAGAAGAATCTCTTTAGCCTTTAGCTAGCTAAGATATTCACCAGAAAACTTTAAATTATTGGATTTCTAAAATTTCTGTTCTGATTTTCTTTTATCAAAAAAAACCTAGTATTCTTTGTGATTTCCCACAATCGTTTGCCTTCTGGCACACGAAACTTGGGTAATTAAACCGGTCGAGGAACATTTCCGATCGTCTCTACCCAGAGCAGTGTGACAGACGCCGATTTTTGAAAAAAGCGACATGGAAAGAACGCACAGTTGACTTTCCATCATGCACGGTGCGTTCTTCCTGTGTCGCTCGTAGGGAAAATCAGCATCTGGCACACTACTCTGGATAGACACGACCGAAAATGCTCTTCGGCCGGTTTAATTACCCAAGTTTCATGTGCTAGGCCGAACTCACAAGACATAAAAACAAAAAATAAACAGAGAAAGAAGGAAAATGAATTATTCGATCAATTTGTGAGTCCATTTTCTCATTTCCCATCTAGAGATGCATCCTTTTCCCACCTCTTCCAAGTCTAGACTTCATCATCGAAAAGAGAAAAAAAAACCTATTTTCAATTCTATTCTGTTTCCATTCAAATTTGATCTTATACGCGGGTGTATTTTGTGCTTAAACATTTAAAAAGCGTCTGGTACACTCGATTCATCGTTTTTTTTTCCGAGTCCGCCAGAAAGGGTGTGTTTCGATTTAATGAAATCAAAGGAAATGATAAAAATAAGGTTATGAAAGCTTTAAAACTTGAAACCTTAGCAAAAATTTGTGTTTTCTCAACAAGTTTTTTCCCAAAAAGAAAATCGACTTCAATTTGTCAAAATTTCCGTAAGAAAAGATCCCTTTTCCCCTAAAAATCTCTCTTTTCTCTTTATAACGCAAAAAGACACAAAATTTTTGAACATTTTCGTGAAAAAAAAGCCAAGAAGATAAAGTGTTGCCAATGGTGACATTTTTGAGAGAAAAAATATATTCAAACTTCTTTAGTTGTTCGTTCGAGTATTTTATGGAAAAATCCCTTTTCTGGCACAGTGCTATTCAATGCTTTTTATTGTTTTCATTGCTTTTCATTTACTACTTTACTTTAGAATCATTTTAGACGATGAGCAAATGGATTTTGTGAGAATTTTGATGAAAACGCGGAGACGACAAAAGGAGAAATGATCGTTCTTTTGTTGTTCGCCATTTTGCAGACAATTGACGCATTCTCGCAAGGGGTACGGTAAAGAAACATCGAAAATCATTGGGTAGGCTAATTTCCGCCGTTTTATTTGCGCAACTCGTCAAAACTATCTTCTAAGTAGGCCAATCTTTATGATTTTGGTGTCATTTTGTTGTACTTGTTGAGATCTACAAAATGACACCAAAATCATAAAGATTGACCCATTTAGAAAAAAGTTATGACGAGTTGCGCAAAAGACCTATTTTTAGAGATGTTCAGCTTTGTTTTAGCAGAAAGAAAATGCGTTTGAGATTCGTTTTAATATAAAAATAATGACTTTTTAATGAAAAAAAAACCGTAGTTCTATTGGCGAGTTGCGCAAATAAAATGGCGGAAATTAGCCTACCCCAAAATCATTATAAAACATTATAAATAAAACTATAAACAGATTAAATAAAATATAAACGTTATAAAACATTACAAACATTATAAAACATTATAAATAGCGTTATAAAACATTATAAACGTTATAAATAACATCATAAACATCATAAATATTATAAACAGCATTATAAATATTGTGAATAACATTATAAAACATTATAAATAATATTATGAACATTATAAAACATTATAAATAGCATTATAAAACATTATAAACGTTATAAATAACATCATAAACAGCATAAATATTATAAACAGCATTATAAAAATTATAAACATTACAAATAACATTTTAAGCATTATAAAACATTATGAACATTATAAATAGCATTATAAAAGACATTATAAACCTTATAAAACATTATAAATAGCATTATAAACCTTATAAAACATTACAAACATTAAAAACAACATTATAAAACACTCGTATAAAACCAAGCTAACTATAAATGACTGTAGGATTCGATCGGTACAATACCCATCGATGTGGAGACACGTTTGGGAGTGATCCGGGGAAGAGAGGGACGCTTTTTGGACAAAAATGTTCGCACATTTCTCAGGTATCGAAAATTGTACCTTGTCTTTTCAAGTATGATACTTTAGTGTTCCATTTGCTGAGCCACCCGAGGGACATCTTCGTTTTCGGCCACCAATCGCGAAAAAGCCATGGAAAGAAACGATCGAGGCGATTCAGCCATCACCCGCTTGTTTCCAGGTCGATTTTAAAAGGGAATTGAGTTGAAGAATTTGAAATTACTGTATGTATCGTACTTACAATCATAGTTCTTCTATTTTTTTGTAGATTAGTGGTACTGAAATGGAGAAATGAGGCTTTTACTGAGTAACCAAGGTTGATATGCGCGCGTTTAACGGATTCGTTCTTTGCCTTTAATAGCCTACTCATACAATTCCTAGATACAATAATCAAGCATTACTGTTCTTGCCAACAAATACTTTATTCTCTTTTTCAGGGTCGTGATGCGTACAATACGACATTCTGGGGATCGGAGATGTGGAATCACAACACGCCGACGAGCGAGGATTGCCTTTACTTGCATATTTGGGCACCAGCGAATGCTTAGTGAGTTTAGTACCAGTATAGTACTCAGATATCGTACTTGACATCGTTATACTACCTGTTACTTTCATTAGTACTTATCAATATGAAGTTTTCAGCAACCTGACTGTTATGGTTTGGCTATTCGGTGGTGGATATTACTCCGGAAGTCCCTCATTGATTCTCTATGATGGCCGGGTTTGTGTAAGACAATCAGTTAGTCACTTTATTCATTATAGGCTCTCGCTGTGACGGGCAATGTGGTTGTCGTGAATATCAATTATCGCGTGGGACCTTTCGGATATTTGTATTTCGATCATCCCGACGCTCCCGGCAATATGGGAATGCTTGATCAGGTTTGAGAATTTTGTAGATATCTAAAATTTACTAAAAGCTAATAAGCTCGAGGTTAAGGGTGATGCGAGCTCTAGTCATTCTAGCCCAACCATGGCCTTGTTAAGTCCTGGTTGAAATCACCAAGACTAACCTGGTACCTAGTATTAGGCTGTGCAGAAAGTCTTTTCGTCTCTTTTCGTACTTCCGTTGAACAATAACAAATTCATCAATTAACTTATGGTTTACTCTCAATAAAAAGTGTTTATTGTTCAATTTTTGATCTTTTTAAGTCAACTTGAGTCCACTTTCAAGCAAATCCAAGAGTGAAAACACGTGTTTTTCGTAAAAATCTTTAAAAACCTCTACAAAGGCATTGGTTTAATGAATTTCTCTGAAAATTTGGCTATATACCATACTTTTTTGTTCTATCTTTTATCTATTGACACGAATATAGCTTTCCTTAGCTAAAATGTCTAAAACGCATCATCGAGCCGTCACCCTTTTTGACTACCCGACTTCACGCTCACAAAAAAGTCCAGACATAAGACTTTGAAACCCGTTTTTAATGTTATTTTGCAGAAAAATAGTTAGCATTTCTGATGAAACAAACCGTAGTTCAATTGATGCATTTGTTGGTTTTAAACGGAAGGAAAAGGAACAAAAAGACTTTCTGGACAGCCTGGCCGAGTTCTTGTCTCATCTTAGGACAGTACCTAATCGTATCTATTAACTTTCCGCTCTTCGCAATCGACAATCATCCAGGAATTCTTTTCAGCAATTAGCCCTTCAATGGATCCGCGATCATATCTTTTCCTTTGGTGGAAATCCTGATCGAATGACTCTATTTGGGGAAAGTGCCGGTGCATCGAGTATCGTCGCTCATCTCATCGCTCCAGGCTCGCAGAGGTTTGTGTGGAACTTGCAAATGCCTTATTTGAGCCTTATCCTTGTCTAGTTCTAACAAAAACTAATTTAAACTAATTTGATGCATCTATTCTTTTTCAGACTCTTCAAACACGGCATTCTCCAATCGGGAAGTTTGGACAACAAATGGAGTATGGATACACCGCAAAGAGCGCTGCAAAAGAGTGAGAAATTGGCGGAGTTGGTCGGATGTAATCGATCTACGGTAGGTTGATAGAGTGTTATTTTAATGGAATGTGCTTCTGCGTTTGCTAAAATGCACCTATTTTAGCAAACTACCGTTGACATGGGAAGGTCAACTGGATAGGCTGGCCAAATGACATGAACCATAGATCTATCGACGCAGAATTTCACGCTGAATCCGAATCTGCTTTTCGTTTTTGCTAAACGGCACTCTATCAAAAGTTATAAGCATGCAAAGTTTTGTATGAAATTTTAAAAATCATCCCTCGAGTTTATCAGCAGCTTTCCCAGAGAGATAAAAGAGGAGTGGTGGCCGAGGGGTAGTCGACCAGAATGCAGACCCTCACGGGTTCCAGTTCGCAGTTTAACTTTTTTTTGCTTTTGTGCACTTCGAAGCCCCGAAACTCGGCTTAAAATGCCTTTTCCCAAGCTCTCGTTATGTTTTTCGAAATCCACGCATAAAATTACCCCAGAAAAAGTGGGTTTGAAGAAAAAAAGCGCCCCCAACCGGCTTAGTTTTAATGTTAATAGTTAAAAGTAAGCATTTTTACGAGAAGTAGCTTGAAAAAGACTTGTATGTAAAATGGAGAGCAATTACATTTTAAAAAAGAAAAAGAAAGTTAAACTGCGGACTCGAACCCTAGAGGATGCTCCGTATTCTGGTCTGGCCACCACTCCTCTTTTATCTTTCTGGGAAAGCTGATAAACTCGAGGGATGATTTTTAAAATTTCATACAAAACTTTGCATGCTTATAACTTTTGATAGAGTGCCGTTTAGCAAAAACGAAAAGCAGATTTGGATTCAGCGTGAAATTCTGCGTCGATAGGTCTATGGCTCATGTCATTTGGTCAGCCTATCCAGTTGACCTTCACTTGTGAGTGGCGTTCTATTAGAGTATTTAGAATATGTACGGTCAAAAAGCTGATTCAGGTTTTGGACACGATCCATTGCCTTCGCGATGCTGAAGCCACAAAATTGGTGGATATGATTTGGAATGTTGATTTGAATTTTCTCGAATTCCCATTTGTCATCGTGAGCCGGGATCGTCATTTCTTCAGGCATAAGGTTTAAATAAACTTTCAAATAAAAGATTCAATGAATCACTTCCAGGACGGTTTCGAAGCTCTCCGAAATGGTGATTTTACAAAAGGAGTCAATTTAATGTTTGGAATCAATCATGATGAAGGTTGGGGAGAAAACGAAATATTTGCATTTGTTTATAGGAAACTTTTGGAATATCTACAATTTACCTGAATTCTTCAACGTACCCATTCAACCCGAATTGAGTCGAGAGGAGTTTTACCAGGTGAGAGAGAGGGGGACGAGCAAGACTTAAAAATGAAGCTGATAAGTTGATGCAGGTCAGGATATATTTTGGATTTTAACCTGGCCATACCAGAACCCTGGTTCTACCCTAGGCTTGACCTAGTCCTGAGCCCGAACAAAAAAGTTTTGCCTTGATTTCAGATTGTTTGTCTTAAAGATTAAAGGAAATCAGGATCCCTTGATAGATCGATTGTTGCCGATTTATTCACACGAATAATGTGGTACAAACAATACTGAAGTACAACCCCCTAAGCCATGCAGGAAAGAAGAACCTATATATATGGCAAAGCACTTAGCTAGCGGGATTGAACCCCCGACCTCCTGACTAGCATACGGGGCTCTTAGCCAGTCGGTCATGCCGGCCGGTTCTCAAAAATTTTGCTAGATCTAGTAAAGTGTGGACCCGAACCGTGGGCTAATCCTGACTTGGTTCTGATTTGATCCTAATCTTGAGCTGATCTGCTCTGGCCAGACTTGGCCTTATCCTGGCTTGATCTCTGATCCTGACCTGGCAAAACTTAAAACTGATACTGTACTTGTTAAAATCATGGGGAAATCTATCCACTTCAGTGTGTGGACAAAGCGTTCGCGGCTCAGCCAGAAGTGGTGAGACATGCATCAAAATTCGTCTACTCTGATCCACATTGTAATGGAACGGGCAAGAGGAAATTTTATGCGGAACAGGTTTTGATTGGACAACAAAAGTCGAAAATCGAATATTTAGGTGAATCAAATGGTCGGTGATTATTTCTTCACATGTGATTCGATTTGGTTGGCTGATAAAGTGGCAACTGATCCATCGAATAATGCTAATGTTTACGTTTATTACTTTGATCAGTACAGCAGGTGAATTGAGACAAATATTGAACTAGGCTAGTAGTGTATTTTGTGCTCAAACACATCCTTTCTCATACACTTGATTCTTGTTCGATTTCATGAGAAAAACCTGGAATAAGGTACACTAGAAAGGGTGGATTTCCACAAGCACAAAGTACAAGGCAAATCAGTTTAAGAGGTAATTTCTAGTGCAAATCCTTGGCCACAATGGACGGGCGTGATGCATGGATATGAGATCGAATTCGTTTTCGGCGTACCCTTGTACAATCGAACAGCCGGATACTCAAAGTTTGTCGTGTAAAGAGGAGTTCTGTGGAGCACTGTAGTATTTAGAGAGTTAGATGAATGATGAAAAATCGGCTTTTTTTTGGCCACTTTTCAATCATTTTTTTCTAAGCGCTGGTTAATGCTAAAAAAGTGTATTATATTTCAAAAAATCACCCATTCTCTCTATTTTAATTTGATACCCAAGCGCACAGAAACAAATGTACTGGTGTCGAGATATGAGCGTTTATTTGCGAGTAAACTTAGCCTACGCGACGCTCCTATAGAGGGGGCTTTTACTAATTTACGGTAGTTCATCCTTTAATGTTTAAAAGTTTGCTTTCAGAAGAGAGGAGACTTTCTCAAAGAAAATCATCGAATATTGGACAAGTTTCGCAACAACGGGGTTAGTTTTTTTGCAAATTTTGAACCTAACCAATCGTTTCAGAGTGCCAGTGTTGTTGGATGGGAAAAATCATGCGGTTTGGCCGAAATACGATCTGATTACGAAGCGGTGGATGAATTTGAAGGTACGGTAGGCTTGGGAACAGTAAAAGCCTCCTGATCAGAGCATTAAGCTAACTTTCTAGGCTGGCTCACATTTGGGAACGATTCACGCAAAGAAAAGTGTTGAATGTGAGTTGTGGAGACATTCAAGGGATATTGAATTCACGCATTATGGTGAGTGGAGTTGCGTGTACTTTGTGCTCAAAATTGTGTAAACACACGGCTTCTAGCGCACTCGAGTTTGCATTTGTTTTGAGGGTTGCTGTAAGAAAAGTGAAGAAATCATTGCACCAGAAGGTGTGTGTTTACAAAGTACAGCAAGACAAGACGAAGAATGCAAAGAAAAGCAAATTTCAGAGAAAATCGTTCACTCCTCGTCATCATCATCAAATTTCTGCACCTTTTTCTTCTTCTTTATCGTAATCTCAATTAGAAGGATACTGTAGTTTTAGTGTGTTTTTTTTTAAAATTTTCACAAGCTGGTGAATTCTAGTCAGATTTCTTCAGATTTTCTTCAGTTTCAAATTTCTAAAGTTTTTTTTTTTAGATTTTTCGAATTTTTTTCCCTGCCCAGCACTTTCTGTCTTTCTTCTTCTCTATTTCAATAGATTTTTTTACAATTTCATTTAAAGAAATTCTCTAAATTTATGTAAAAATTGCCAAGTGTTTGCCCTCTTTTCTCATTGCCAGTTCAAAAAAGTTCAAACCAAAGAAAAACGGTATTTTTTTTTAAAAAAACTACAACGATCCTATAGAATTTTAAAGTAAATTTATAGATTTTGCGAAAAAAAAAATTCAAAAATTTCCTCTTTATCATATCTTTTCTTTTCTTTTAGCGTTTTTTATTTTATTTTCAGGTACTTTTTCTCTCATCTAATCAATCACTTATTTTATATATGAATATAGATTTGTATTAGCTTTGAGATTTCAAAAAAAATAAATAATAAATAAAAGATAATAAACAAAAGAATAAACAAAAGAATAAACAAAAGAATAAATAAAAGATAATAAATAAAAGAAATTTCAAAGAAACACTGCAGAATTCGAGCTTTTCTGTCTCTCACAGAGTTCCGTCTTTCTTTCCTAGTCAGAAAAGAGAAGGCTGTTAGGGGTGAGCCCCGCCCCCCTCCCTTTTCACCGTCTTTCCCCATCCTCCCAACACCGGTCCCGTGGTGTAGCGGTTAGCACTCAGGACTCTGAATCCTGCGACGGGAGTTCAAATCTCCCCGGGACCTTCCTCTTTTTGCGTTTGTGGAAATAGGCAAGCAAACTCTCACCTTTCACTCTCTCAATAGATAAATGTCTCGGTTTCACAAAATTATCATGTTTCTCGATTGAAATTTGCATAAATGTCCGACAGCCCCTCTTCTCTTTTCGCTCCAAAACCAAAAGCCGCCATTATTTTCGACTCTTTATCTATCGCAAGCGTTTCACTTTATTTTTGCTTCCAACCGCCCTAAATGGATTCGATCAAATATCTCGCGGATTGCCTCTATTTCATCGGTGAGTGGGTTTTGGTTTAAAATTTTATGTTTGCTAGACTTTTGTGTGTTTATGTTAACAGAGTGTTTCAAATGGGTAAAATAGCTAAAACATAGCTAAAATGGTTCAGTTTAGATGAAAACGTGTTTAAGCAAGCTATTTTAAACCATTTTGAGGCACTGTTGAAAATCAAGTACGCTAGCTGTCTACCACATTGAAAGCTGTTTTCAACAACCTTTCTATTAATCTTCCTTTTTTAGTCGTTTTGGTACTTTCTGCGATGGTGCTAGTGCAATGTGGAAAGGGTCGAAAAACGGTGAGTAATTTGTTTGTCTTGTAATATATTTTAGTTCTAACGTTTAAAGATCTTTCTAATGTTTTATTTAGGAAAAAGGTCTTCAACTGGGTGAGAAGAGCAAGCGACAGAAAAAATCCGAACGACAAAAGTTAGAAAGAAAGAAGGGCTCAATGAAGTCGAAGAGATCGATCAAAGAGAAGCTACTTGCACCCTGGAAATCATTCAAGGTGGGACTAGTTATATTCATTATTTAAAACTTATTTGTTGAAATTAATAGTGCGCTTTTAGGAGAAACACACTGGAAAGAGCAAGAAGAAAGACGATGACGAGAAAGAAGAAAAAAACAAAACGAAGTTGAAATTGGATAAGAGTAAGTGGAAACTATTGGAATCTTTTGTGTTCAAGAGGAAAAGAAGAAATCGCCGATTACAGAACAAATCTGGAAGAAAGCTGAAAGTTAGCATTTGATGATTACTGGTGTTAACATGTGTTTAAAGTTAGCTCTGCTTACCTATTTGAATTAGGCTCGCTTCGGACTGCTCGCGAACAATCGCTCGATGATCGGAAGAATAGGCGCCGAGATCGAGATGGAGTTCCCGATGGTAAATATTATCTACTTAGCTTTGATTATTCTTTTCTTTCAGGAAGTGCTCGCCGAAAATCGTCCCAGGTTGAACGTAATAGGTGAGACAATTTTTATGATGATTTTATCAATAAACATGTATTGCTCCAGTAATTAGGTATACATTTTCTGTTTAGAGACTCTAGCCGTCGTCGCCGTGAAGCCAAATCCAAGCTTGAAGCCGACGTTGCCGCTGCACAAGAGGTACAATTCACTATTCTAAATTACTCCATTGTTGCTTTTTTTTTGGGCGAACGTTTTGACTGCAATGAACAACTCGCAGCGTGAAAGGGCGAGGGCTCGTTCAAAACGCGACTCGAAACGTGGCTTATCAAGCGGATTACCGGTTGTTGTGCCGGCTGTTGTACCTGCACCACGCAGCAAACGTGACGATGTTAACGCGAATCTGGTAAGGAACTTCTGAATATGTTAATTTAAGGAATCCGCTTGGCTTTTGTTCACTTGTTAGTTAAATAAAACATTCAATGATTTCTTTGATTTAGAACAAATCAGAAAAGTCTGTGAAGTCCCAGAAGTCGTCTGTGAGGTTGGCAAGATCGAAATCATCATCGAAAGGCTCGCAACAAAGCACCAAAGTTGACAGTCTCAAAGGGGGAAGCAAACACTCAAAGAAATCATTGTAAGTGAAATCAATGTTTGCATTTTTATTAATTTATTTAGAAATGAAGCTGAACTGAATGCTCGCTTGAAAGTGAATGCCATCAAAAATGCGGTGAGGTTTTGTCATAACGCATTTGTACATTAAGCTTGATTGATCCTGCATGTGATAGGCTTTGATTTGTTTACACTCTTATTTTTTTTATTTTTAGAAGGCCCGTTCTACTACCTCAACTGGTGAGAAGAGCAACAAGAAGCGCCCAAAAGGCTCCAAAGAGCGTCAAACGAAAATGGGCAAAGTCAACTCGTCACCCATCAAAACGATCAAATCCACCAAGGAGAAGGTTGCAAAGAGCTTGGTGAGTGATTTTTTTATTTCTTTTGTTAAAAGGGCACGGTAGATCTGCGTGAAAGTTGCTTGAATTTTGGTTCTTTTGAGTAATATTTTAAGTTGCTCAAGCTATTTTACTAATTTTTAAATTTCACGGTTAGACTTGCTAGTTTTTAACAGTTTTTAAATAAGGATGCTCGCTTGAAGCTTTAAAATGTTTAATTCAAAGAAAAAACGATTAATCCGAAAATAAGTCTTTTCAATTTCAAGCGACCTTTCCTTGTTTTTAGTCTGGCTCGATTGAGGCTCCGAAAGAAGTGAAAGGATCACCCGGACTCGAGCCACCACCACCTCAACCAGTGTCACAAAGCAATGAACAGAAGAAACAAAATTCCCCCGTTCAAGATGATGTGAAGACACCAAAATCGACGAATGTGCCCAAATTTGAATTGGAGTACATCATGGTCCCTGAGAAACCCGTTGAGAGCAAATTGGTGAAGGTGGAGAAAATCGAGCCATCCCATGCACAAGAGGATTCAACAAAGAAGAAGCCTGATATCGATTCATCCAAAAAACCAAAAGATTTGGAAATGCCGAAACCCAAAGAAACTGAGTGGGTGAAGACGAAGAAAAGCGAACAAAAGATAGCAGCCGATTCGGAGAAGAGAGAAGAGAAGTCAGCACCTAACAAAGCATTGGAATCAACCACGAAGGTTTTGAAAAAAGAGTTGCACGAGGAGATTAAAACGAAAAAGTTGACCAAATCGGTGTTGGGTCTGTTGTCGAAGATCACCTCGAAGAAGTCAAACGATGAAAAAAGGGAAGAAGCGAAGAAGGCAAAGAAAGATCGGAAAGTGAAAGAAATCCTAAAAGAAAAACCAACAGAATCGGACAAAGCGACAAAGAATGAATCAGAAAAGGAAAATGGATCGAAGGATTCGACAAAATCGTCAAAGTTCGATCAGAAAGCAAATGAACCGATGAAGTCAACAAAAATTAACGAATTCGCCAAATCGACTACTCAGAAGACCGAGGAAAAGAAGAAGGTGGACAAACCGACAAAGCCAAAAGATGAAACCAGTCGATCTAAAGCGAAGTTGGAGAAGAAAACGGATAAGGAATCAACTGAGTCGACGAAGAAGAGCTTCCTCAAGGGACTTTTCGAGAAATCGAAGAAGAAATTGGACAGCAACAAGAAAGATGACAAAAAGGAGAAAAAGTTGGGGCTCATTTGAGACATATTAGGTGAGTTGGCGTTCGTTTTATGAGTGTTTTTAAATTTAAACTAAATAAGATACCGTGCCCTAAAAACTAATTTTATTAATAGTATGCGTGATGTTGTAAAATTTCAAAATTTCTTTTTTAGAAGAAGAAATGAACCGCGACTCGTTAAACGATCACCAAGGACCAATAGACCAAAAATTATTTTCGTTTTCACCCTTCTTATTCGTGCCTTGCCCTTGAATAAATGTTTATAAAGAAAAAAAACCGACGATGACAAGTTGAGTCTTTTCGATTTTGATATTTGACTGATTCGCTCTACTAATCACGTTTGAACATTGAAAAATCAAGAAAAAATTATTTCGACGCATACCTATGTTTTCAGGAATTCCCATTTCTTCGAAGTTTCCAACAAAATTTAAGATTCCCAGTTAGGAACCCTTCGAAGGCATAATTGCTAGTTAATTTCCGCTCCAAAACACGTAACGATTCCACTGCGGAGCTGTTTAGCAATTGGTTTGGGGAATTTTTGAAAGATACTCCAAATCGCACACGCACAGAATTGTTTTGTTTAAATTTTTTCTCTGAAATACATATCAAATTGTTACCTTTAAAAGACGATCACAAAAGTTTACTTTTAGTGATCGTCTGGTTTGAATATGACGGGAAATGACGGGGACGCCACGCAACTGTTTATGGATGGAGAAAGAAAGCATTTCGAGTAAGGAAATTTGAAAAAGATTCTTTGGGTTGCAGTCTAAAATTGTCAACTTTAGGCAAATCTTCCGGACGCCTAGACAGGGATTAGCGCTCACGAATCGCTACAGCCAGTCGAGTTCAAGTCTTCCCTCTTCAAATTTTGCCGATATTAATACTCGCTTGTTCAAAGGTTTATTTTATCTAAAAGCACCTTTTGAAATTTTTCTTTAGCTGAAACCTCCGCCACTAACGCAAAACTATATGAAGCCACCGAGGAAAATAGGCTTTTGAGTAAACAAATTGAAGAGCAGAAGAGATTGATTTTGGATTTACAAAAAGATAACAAGGTTTTTTTGTTGAAATTCTAATGATAGCTTTGGGGATAGTTAAAGTAGAAAAAGTTTAGGACCACGTTCGAAAGCAAGAAGATATGGTTAATGAAATAGCCAACTTGAAGAAAGAAGTTTCTCGAGGGACACGAAATCTTGAAGAAGCGATGAACGAGTCGGCAACGATTTCGGTTTGTTCTGTTTGCAGATCAATGTTATTTGTTTTTAGACAAATGTCGAAGCGGAATTGTCTTGTCTACGAAAGGTTGCAAACAAACTCTACAATCATCATTTAAAGGCACATATTTTGGTAATCGACCATTTTGAATTTGATTTTTAGGATCGTGCCCAACTTCAATGCGTGAAGAATCTACTACTTCAGAATACACTTTGGACTGCCAAAAATCTCTTGGAGGTTTGGTTAATGCTAGCTTTTTCTAAAAGTTTGTTTGGTTTAGATTCGTTCTTCTTATTTGGGAGTGCCTATCTCAAAACTGGATGACGGTGACTTCCGTTCTCACTTTGAAATTTTATTTGAAACTTTAGAGAAAATCAGTGAATGGTATCGTGGATCGGAAATGGATTACACGGGGATTGATGAAACCGAGCCTCCACAAGTGGTTCCATCTCCAGAGGTAAAATATAGTGCATTAAAGAAAATGAAGATTGAAAATGTCTCATGTCATATAAATGCCAATGTAATATAGCTACAAATTTCCATTTCATTTGTTCAGTTTGTTTTCAACAACGATGAAGAGACAGCTGATTTGACAACGGGCCTGAGGTTTCAGAGAAAAGGTGTGTTTAAAAAATTTTTTATTAAATCATTGTTAATATTCAGTGATCAATGACACGATGCAACTTGCTAGGAAACGATCGGGAAGGTTTGATAATATTCAAGTTTGTTTACAGAGTGGATTTTAGTGGTCCTCGACGAATTTTGAGTCCAATACCTTCTGAGAGCAGTTTAACCGGTTTGGAGCTTTGTGCTAATTATGAACTTGAGATTCAGATATGTCCACAACGCAACAGGATATTACCGAGGCTTCAGTCTGCGATCAAACCATGAATTCGGTAGACTACGAAAACTACGAGAAGATTCAGAAGTGAGCAATATATCCAGATTTTTTTTGCATTATTTCTGCATTAAGATCCAGCGGCTATTGCCATGACTGATCTTTTTAGATTGGAAGCTGATACTTCACAACTCCGCCAACAACTATTCGTCGCTCAGTGAGTGTCAGAAAGATTTCAATCAATTGCTTCATTTAGGAGTCACGCCAACAATGCTCTCCTTTATTGCCATCAGAAGTTGGACTTCGAGAAAAAATACAACTTCACCAACAAGAAATTGGAGGAGACAATGGTTTGTTTCTTGGCCAGATACTAGCAAGGAACCCTTGTTAGAATCTTGATCATGCCTTCTTTAGAAAGAGTTGTGCGCTATTCGAAACGCAACGGCTCGGAACTTGTTCGGATCAGAAGATGGACGATCACAAGTGGATAAAATTGTGGCAATGAATCAGAGGTTTACATTTGATTTGCTAATGACTGTTTGGTTTTTAGAATTGAAGAGCTTGACAATGAAGTGAAAAAGTTGAGAGACAAGCTGGCAGAAAGGTGAGTAGTACCAAAGTTAATTAATTAGTAAGCAACTGCATGATTCTTCCAAAAAGTTAGTCACCTAATCAAATTTAGTGAACGAAACACGGAAAAGGCGCATTCGATGTTGAAAGATGAGAGAATGACGAGCGATTCATTGAGAACAAATTGGGATGAGCACATGACATATTGCGGTCAGTTTTTTTTCAACGATGCGAGAACATTTGCAAGTTAATAATGAAACTGAAGTGTCAATTTAGAGAGTAAAATTGATGAATTACAAATCAAATTCAATATGGCCAATGAACAAGTTGACGACTTAAGGAAGAAACTTGCCAACCAAGATACTACAATTCAAGTAAGGGTTTCTTTTGCTTTCTTTTAACGGTTACTTTTAGGAATTGCAGCGCAAAGTGACCACTCATTCGGAGCCAACCGATGCCGGTGACACAACACAGGTCTTGAATCTGCAAAGTGCGAAGAAAGCAAGTCGTTTAGATATTCCATGTGCGAATGAATCCTTTGGAAATGGCCCATTTGCAGTTTAAGCAAAAAGAGGAAGAAGAAGAAGAACGAGATAGAAAGAGGAAATTGGTAAATTGGTTTTTTAATAAAATTTACTTTTTTTGCAGCCACTTTCACTAAAAAGTAATCAATTTTTAGGTCCCAGATGCTGGACCAAGTGAAGATCACGAAGAGTTGGAAGCTAAACGAGCTAAAATCAATGAACGAGTGACAGGTATGGTCGTTTTCCTGAATCATTTTAAGCATTAGTTTTAGTACTTGAAGAGCAACTTAGACGTGCAGAACAGTCGAAAGCAAAAGCCGTCGAAATACAAGTATATACTATTTTTTGTCTAGGCTCAAGTTATCAATTTAGGGCAACTTGGCTCGTCGTTATCGAGAAGTTTCAACCGCTCTCACGGGATACCAAATCAAGGTATGGTTTTGTGTGCGCTTGGGCTAAATCTGAAATTTCAGATGCGAGATGAAGAGTGCCATGTTGTGAGCTGTGTTGGAGTCGAACCCGAAGATGCTTTCACGTTTAAGGTACATTTAGCAATTTAACGAACAAACATTTTTGTTGACATTTTACATGAATCATTTCAGTACGAAGACGGGAACTTGATGTTAATCGCCCGTGATGATGGCTCTTCCGAGATCAGCTCTCAGAAGTGGCGGAAAGAAATGGACCAGTGAGTGATTAATTGATAGGTTTACACAAGAATCCAAATTACTTGTACTTTACATAAGCTACTATAACAATACTTTTAGGTATCTCGGCGAATGGAAGAGCGTGCCGGCTTTTCTTTCACAAGTGACGATCTCTTTGACGGAAACTTTGCACGAAGAACATACCTTCACACAGCCATCATATTCTGTGATACACGATGATTGAAGTGCCTTTTGTAGGCGATTCAGAATTGTTGTTCTTTTTAAACGTCGCTATTTTTAAAAAATTTTATATTTACAGATCTCATTTTGTTGTTTAGCTTACATAGATTCCGTTTTTTGTGTATTTATTGCAATAAATTATCTTAGAGTTAGCAGTTTTTGGAAGCGTTTGCTCGTTATTGGTACTTGTAGATTATTAATTTTTTTAAAACCATCTGAAAAACCCGCCTATCGGCTTTTTTACTATCACCAATCACCTAATAAATGCTATTTTATTTTTGCATTATTAAAGAGGCAGGTCACCATAAAAATTGACGTCTTCGGCGTACCTTTTCACGCCACTTCTAGGGTTGCATTTACTATCTGCTTTGCATTTCGAGTGCATCTATCCATTAAAAACCCAGGGGCGCTTCTGCGTATCTTTCTATCCCGTCCAAGAGGAGTCTTTCCTCACCTATCTCGAGGCGAAAGAAGACTTCCGGGATGGGTAAGGGGAAGACTCCTTTCTTTGGGGGTTGAGGGTTTCTGGTGGGATCAGAAATACGGACGTTTGTATAACGGAAATTTCCCAGGTTTTGAAAGTTAACCAGTGGCTTTATGTAAATCTGCAATCGTATTCCTATTGGCAACAATTATTGCGTGGATAATTGATCGTACTCTTTTAAAATGGCTGTGCTTTGTCTCTTTCCAATATTTCTATTAGCATTGCGTTTTGAAGTAAATTGAACAGCAATTAAACAAGAATGCTTCGATGGCAGTTTTTGCTAAAAGAATGAAGCTAATCTAGCGGATAAATAGCTTAAATATTTTTTTTACTATGGTAATGTTTAATTGGTCATAATATTTTTCAATCCACTTGTGCAGACTTTCACTTTTCAGATTAGTTAATTTCCCCTTTTTTATTTCCAGTAATTATCAAACCCCATCAAGGATGGGACGTTGTTGCAAGCATTGCGGCTCGACAGAAATTGATGAAGATGCGGCAAGAGGAGATGCCATTTGCATGGGGTTTGTTTTAGGGGTTTTGCTCTGTTTAAGATAAGATTTGGCAACTTCTGTTCAATCAAATCCGGCTCAAACTTATTGTTATTCTTGTGTTTAGATGTGGTGTCGTGCTCGAGGAAAGCATTGTCGTCGTCGAGAATCAATTCACTGAGTTGGCCGGTGGTTCACACGCGCTCGTTGGTAAGTGAAAAATTTCAAAAAAATAAAGTTCAAATAAAAGCATTGAAACATGTTCTATTTAGGTCAATTCGTCTCGGCTGATCGACAAAATCCAATGGGAAATCAGGACTCTCGAGAACAGACATTCTACAAAGGAAAGAAACTCATTGAAGAGGTAACCTTTTTGTAAAACCGTTTTCTAAAAGAAATTGTAGATTGCCAGTCAGCTACGCATCACCATGCACTGCATTGATACTGCTTTTAATTTCTTTAAGGTGGGTTTTAAAGGTTTTTTAGATAAATTTGTCTTTTTCAGATGTGTGTTTGTCGTGGTCTTACTCGAGGACGAATACGATCTCATGTTGTTGCATCTTGTTTGTACATGACTTGTCGTTTGGAAAATACCGGACATCTACTATTAGATTTTAGCGATATTACACAGGTGCGTATAGCTTACTCAATTTAACTATCAATTTGTAGGTAAATGTCTATGATCTCGGAAGGACGCTAAGTTTTCTGGCACGAGCTCTTCGCATAAATTTACCCACAACTGATCCGTGCTTATACCTTCTCCGATTTGCTGTTATGTTGAATTTTGGCGAGAAGCAAAAAGTAAATTTTGAACTTTTAAAGCTTTTTCAAAGGGTGTATCTAAAGCACTTATCTTAAGGACATTGTGACGCTTGCGACACGTTTGGTACAAAGAATGAAAAGAGACTGGATGGCGACGGGTCGGCGACCAACGGGTTTATGTGGAGCGGCTCTTCTTTTGGCAGCTAGGTTGGTTTTCGTAATCTTCACCAACACAAGAATCTTTAGGGCAAATAATTTCAATCGAACCGTGCAAGACATTGTCAAAGTTGTCCACATCTCGGAACAGGTATGTTTGCCGAAAGTTTGCTTGCTAAAAATTTCTTTAGGTTGTGCGGAAAAGGCTTGATGAATTCGCGCGAACTCCTTCTGCAAATTTGACTGTTGACGAGTTTTCTGCGGTGGATTTGGTAAGTCATTTCTGCTAATTGAGAAGTGGCTTAAAAGTAGGGTAGTTGTTTTGAAAATTTAGCATTGAACGCATGTATCTAATAGCTCCAAATCTTCATTGTTATAGGAACACTCTGAAGACCCACCAGCTTTTCGAGAAGCCCGATTGTAAGTTTTTCATGTTATGACCTGATTGTCTTTTATGAATATCTATAAATCTTGACTAATAAAGTTTTCTAATAATATTTAAACCTTGTTATTATGATGTGTGATCGTAAATTTAGGAAAGCTCGAGAGGAACAAATAAAGCGAGAGGAATTGAAAATCGAGCTGATGACAAGAGATGTAAACATCAAATGTTAATCTTTCTACAAAATTTGGTTTAGCTTCAACCTATGCAAGCCGAAGTAGAGAGGGAGCTTGACAAGCGAATGCGGGAGAAGTTTAAGAAGACACCATTTGCTGTGATTGTTGGTGGGTTTAAGATTAGCTCAAGTAATGTATTTAAATGACGGAGTTTAATCTAATAGTAACTAAGCCAAAGAATGGCTCAATTTTTGAAAGGCAATCAATTTTTCAGGTGGTTCCCTAGAAGATCCAGAGCTTGGTGAGGTGGCAAATTCGTTGGTGAGGAATCAAATCATTGACACCGCTTTTGATGAGGCTGAGCCAACTCCTGGGTTAGTAGCAAGTTTTATTAGTAGCATTATTTTTTTATACTTACTTTCGAAGCTAAACGCTTATAAATGCGTAGTAACGTCAGAGGAAAGAAAAAGCTATCATTTTTAGTCAAAAACATCGGCAATCGTAGCATTGACGTGAAAAACAACATTTCTAGCCAAAAATAGCATGTCAATTTAGCCCATCTAGTAGTATCAATTGGAATGCTTTTGGTCTGACCCCGGAAACATTGGGAATCGGCAGGGTGATAGGTGAATTGACAAAAAAGTTTTTAAGATGTCTTTCATTTTTCAGAGACAAACTCTAATGTTATGGTACCTCAACAACCACCAGCACAACTATCCTCACAAGAATCTGAGGAAAGAGAGGATGGGGAATTGGATTTGAGTGGTTAGTTTAATGTTCAACAAACTTTTGCTACTTATAGCTAGGCAACACTGTACTATAAACTTTTCTTTAGGAATCGACGACAATGAAATTGAAACCTACATCTTAACGGAAAAAGAGGCCGAGGTGAAAGAACAGTTCTGGATGAAAGTCAATTCCGAACATCTAAAAGAAATGGAAAGGAAGTTTGTGGTTTTTCCTAATAAAGCACAATTGAATTTCTCAGACAACAAGAACGTAAAGAGCAAGAGGAAAGAGATCGGTTAGATCCAAAGAAGAAAAAGAAAAAGGTTTTTTGGCGGGCAGAAGTTTTGTAACTTACTTTTTAGCCAAGTCGAAAACGAGAAGAGATCAATGCGAACGATCCATTGGAAGCAATAGAAAAAGTTATTCAGGTAAATCGCTGTTTGTTTAAAGTAAAATTTTTAAAATAGGAAAAGCGCCTCTCCAACAAAGTCAACTACGACATTTTGAAGGAAATTGAAAGAGGAACCGAGGGACTTCAACCATCGTTTATGACAAAGGAAGAGATTGGAAGGTCGGCTTTAAATGATTTGCCACCGATTGTATCGTTTTAGGACTCCATCGGAAATTGTGGCCGAGGTGAACAGATTAGTGGTCGGTTCGAACATTGAATCCGTTGATGCGATGGAATCACCAAGCATGGTCGGTTCTTCATACTTGTAGTTCTCTTCAAAAGTTCAAGTTCTCACTTTTGAATAAAGGATGCCTAGCGGGCATATTTTTGAGAGTTTACGTTTTTCTTCCAGGAATTCGCTGTGGGTCGACCTGAAGTGACAGGTCTCAAGCTGTCTAGGTTGGAGGCAGCTCGACGTCGGAAAGGTCTTCGTGGACGAATGATTCCGATTGAAGAAGTGTTTTTTTTACTTATAGATAATGCACATATGTGTTTTGAACGGCAATTTATATTTCATTTTTAGGTAAAGGATCAACTCCTAGATGATAAAATGGCAATTCTTACTTCGGCAAAGAAAGAGCCTGATGATATAACAGCTTCATCAAGCATGGTTTGTTTAGATTTTTGTGTTGTTGATTCGTTACACTAGTTACACAAAAATCATAACATAAGAACATCAGATCAATCTCCTATTTTAGGATGTTTCTGGTAGCACTGAAACAAAAACAACGCCGGGAACGGGAACGGAGCTGTCTAGACGAAAAAGAATTCGAGGACGAGTAATCAATATGCAAGAGGTTCTTTTTGGGGTTTTGTTTAAACGAAAGGGACGTGCGACTGCTCGTTGTATGTACTATTTGGAAGACTAAATTTGGGATAACCAAGTTAACAAATAATAAAATTATTAAAATTCTATTGCCAGATGCTTAATTATATCTTTCAGGTAAAGAAGCAGCCTCTAGAAGGGAAAGAGATAAATGAGCCAGAAATGGTGAAAGATGACGTTTGTTTAGAATTTACTTTATACTATGATGTATGTTTAGATTGAATCCACAGTTGATGAAGTTCCTATCAAAATGGACCAAGTCCCTGGGATTAAAGTTGAAATCGCCAGTTCACTGTCCAAATCGGCAGCCCTCAAAAGACCAAGGATTAAACCAAAACCATCACTAGCTAAATAAGCCAATGTTAAAACAATAGCCCGTCTAGTCTATTTTTTTGAAAATTTCTTTGTTTTTGTACTGTTTACTCTATGAGCTTAACTTTCGGCATAGGTATCCTATTTTATTAG